TTGCTGTCGAGATTTAATATTAACATATTGTTTTTCTTTCTAGGAGGATATCCCGAAAAATCCAGTCTGTACTTGCCAGTTAACCACAAAGTCTACCTCGCAAATCATCAGACCGTACACTGTACCCGAGTATCCGAAGCAATTCTATCCGGGGGATAGATTCATACCATCACGATGTAATTTTAACGCAGATGCAGCGAGATATATTCTTTTAAAAAAAAAGCCGGACCATTTAAAGGAACCTCACCTCGATGTGTTTAAACAAGTAAGAGTACTCTTTCTTTTCGTAACATTTTATGCATGTGAAGTATAAAAATAAGTACCAGTGTCGGGCATGATAAATTTTCAAATATTAGTCGAAACAACGCTGTTGCATCAAGCTTTGAATTAGCATAAAGGCCGTCCGGATGTGGGAGCGAATTATCTTGTTCATGTTTTTCGATGAAGGCATGTAATCTTCGATAATCCATAAAGATAAGATCGAAATCACGGCGAGGAAGCGGCTTACCGCGCGGAAATTACTGTTCTTAGACTTCGGGAAAATGAGTGCCGTTTCGAGCAGAAAATAGAACTTCCTCTATTTTTCTCTCTCTTACTCTCGCACCCTCTGTTCTCGCAACGTACCATTAAGCTAAAGCTCTTTGCGATCGTTTAAGATTTCCGAGAAGTGCTTTCGCGAATGTATACACGTATCGAAGATACTAATTAATTTACTAATGGAATTTACTGTAATTGATAATTACAATGAAAGACGCGAGATCACAATTGAGATTCAATTTGTTTCACACGTTCAATTAAGTAGAATTCAATTAATTGCCTCGTAAATTTCTATTCTACAAACTTCATCGAAAATTTTCACCGAAGGTAGATAACACTTTCTTTTCCATGAAATGAAACTCATAAAATTCTGAAATTCCTGTATTCCAATAAAAATTATTAGATTCCGTATAAATAAACTATTTTATTAAGAAATTATAAAATATTGAAATTTCCGTTTCGAATACAAGTTGAACGATGTACTAGAATTAAATTCGACGTTAAATCTGGAATTCGATGCAACGAAAAAGGAATAAGACTAATCGACCGCGCAAGAAGAGAAAATAAACTGATCATCCAATCTCGGATTCAATTACACTCACGTTGTAACTATTCGCGGAACCGCTTACCTATTTTTCAACTTAAGTTCGATTAACGCTGTGAAATTAACGTTAGCGTCTTCATTGGCAAGGATAGGAAAAGAAGAAAATAGGAATCGAAGAGAATGGAAAGTCGTAATTAAACGTGAGTCGCGAAATCGCTAAACGAAGATATCCTAGAAACGTAATTTCCTGAATATAACGCACCCAACAACGTCGATAATGTTACTATAATAACAACAAGCAATAATATACTAGCATCGATCATATTTCCTTTGCCTCTTTCCTCCTTTTTCCAGAAGATCCTTGTAGGCGAGCCTGTCTGCTACCACTTCGCTTGACATCCGACCACCGCTCTTTATTTTACCCTTATTTCCCTTATAGATTGCTATGAATAGCTTCATCGATGTAGACTGTTCTGTTATGCGATTTATGATTATAATAATCTAACGCGACTTATCATTTTCTCATAGAAATAAAACAATGAGTCAATGACATACTGTATCATCTCTATGCTTTCAGTCCTATTGAAAATAATATTTATTTCTAATATATATTTACGTTTCATAAAAATACCAACCCTCTAAAAATTGTACAGTTCGTGTAACGTTCAATTGACATTCGAGGATCACGTTTTGCCTAGATTAACTAAACGATCGATGAACGATATACATATAGGTAAAGTCTCTACCGACCGCATGGCAAAAGAAATTTATGCACCAGTTAATGGTGGAGGGAAACGTTATACCAGGATTGAGACAGAAACAAGTGCTGCGCGGTAGCCACTTATCCTCGGAAAACAAGTCGCCTGGAAACTTTGCAGAGCAGTCTAAAGACCTGTGGGACGAGAAATGCTTCGAAGATGGAATGTGGAAATCGAAGCCACGAAAGAGGCCTTTAATAGGCACTATGGAGTCCATATTGGATATACCTGGATTCCAGACGTCGTCACGTAAGAATTTCATAAAATTCTAGGATATTTCGAGCTTACCTCCTACCTAAGCCATCAAACCTTTTTTCTTTTTTTTTGATAATTATATAGAATAGGGTACAGTTCACCGATTTCAATGATCTCGACGAAAAGGCATCATATAAATAGAAGGATAGACATATTAAAAAACTTATTAAACATTAGATTTAATTTGAACACTGATGGGGGAGGAAAGGGTTAGGGAACTTTAGGTATTGAATGTTTTTAAAATAATAAAACTTTTTCTAATGCTCGAAGAGTATCGTTATCATCTGATCGATTGGAGTTCGAGAAACGTATTTGTGGCGAAGATTGAAGGTACACTGATGTGTTACGACAGCCGGGTATCTCAAACAGTAGAGAGATTGCAAAACTTGAATGCAACTAATGTGTGCTTAGTGAAATGGAGTGGTGCAGGTCGGTTTGTTTGATATAATCTATTGCATATTATAATACATAAATCATTATCGAGAGAATACAAGTAGCGTTTAACAACGTGTGAAATTTTAACAGGAGACAAATTGGTTATATGTACAATCTCTTCGAAGATCAAAGTATACTCGGTGGAAAAGCAGAAAATAATATGGACGCAAAAGTGCGCGAGCGTAACCATGTTCGATACACCCTGTGTGATACGATGTGCCTGTTGGTCAAAAGACGACCAACTAATTGTTACGTGAGTGATTTTCATCCGGAATTTTGAATTCTTGCAATTTGTCACTTAATTATTTATTGTAGAAGAGGGGAGAAAAAGGCGTTTCGTTTCGGGATCGTCTGTCAGACTCATCAGTGGGGCTGACGACAGACGATCCCTGCCCCAGATACCTATCACAACGCAATTCGTAACTTGCATGCCGGGCGACCGCTAGCGAGAACACTGTCACCGATCATCTCGCCGCCACCTAGCGGTCCCCGGCCCGAACTAAAGGCGTCCGGGGAGAGGAATTCGTCTCCACTAAACGCCTACATTATGGAATACTATTTATTTTGTTTACAGGGGTTGCAAAGGATTGATCTCGGTTTATTCGGCGAAAAATGGCGAATATATCGATTCAGTACGAGCACACACGCAGACTTTGCTCTCGCTTGCATTTTCCAAGGACTATCGATACTTGGCCTCATCCGCGCTGGACATGGATGTTCAAATTTTTCTCTGGCCAGATATGACTCCATTTTTGAGTATTTGCTACTACGAGCCTGTTAAAGTATGTTGACAAAATACTGGACATCCTAAAATACTGGATTTTACAGTAACCCTCTATTTTTGAAATGAATGGCAGGCATTGGCTTGGCACCCGCACGATGGTAGCTGTTTATGCATAGGCGGTGGCTTAGGCAACGGGTCCCTGTTACTCTGGAACGTGAACAAGGTTGATGCCGTGAGTTATCGTCTCGTTAAGTTTCACGGTGCCGTGGAGAACTTGGCTTGGAACAAACGTAGCGCAGAGCTGGTCGTTCATTGGTCGTGTCGACGAAGACGGAATCGTTATACTGTGATGCCGGTTTTCGCGAACCTCGATCACATTGTCGATGTCTTGCCAGTTGATAAGAAGATACGAGTCAACAGTATCCTCTGGAATTTCGATCATACTCAATTAGGTGAGCGAGAATCGTTTCTTTCACTCTTGCTTCGTTGATGGAAGTAAGTACCTAATTGGTTTGTGTTGATAATCAATATATTCATAGTTGTTTTATGGTTTGGATTGTCACTTTTAAAACTGCTGATTCTGGGTGCAAGTCGTGTCCTCTAGTATTCCTCTTTATACGTAGTTTATGTAATTATATGGAAATGATTATAGTATTAAATATCCTCTGTGATATAATTTGACTTTAATGATGATTTAAACGAAGGAAGCTAATGAGACAATATATTTTTCACAGCTGTTCAATGCGATGACTCGTTAATGATATATAATTTCTTCGGTAACGAGTACCAGTACAAGATGAAACTTAAGAAGCAACATAAATTTCGAGAGATACCAAACAAATCAACAGTTACAAACTTCAAAGAATTCAAATACTTTAACATTCGGTAGAACCGTTGCACGCCAGCAATAATTAATTTTAACATTTTGTTTGAAAATTTATTATTCATTGATTTTATTGATTAATAATTTATAAACGCAAATTCTCTTTTCTTTTTTTGCCAAAAAAAGTTGCAAAAAGAAAAAAGAATTTGTATATACACATTATTTATTAATTTTATATTTTGTTGATCATATTTTTCATTTCTTGTTATCAAAGGTATTGTTTTTTTATAAAAAGATGAACTATGATCTATTCAGAAATGTAAATAATATTTTGGAAGATTTAAAGGATTAAATCAGGATTTATATTTCGGTTCAGGAAAATTTATTTGTCCAGTGTTCGGTATTTTATCGTATCTCAAAGGAACTTGACGTTCTCGAATGCTTGCTTAACAGTTCCTCGTTCCACTGATTTTACTCTAACGTCAAATACTGATTTGCATTATTTACCGCATCCTGACAACGATTAAGGACGATTATAGCCGAATCGCGTGCAGTTAAAATTTTCTCGAGTTCGTTTCACAACAGGTTTATCGATCGTTCGGAAGATAACGCTGCACAATCTCTTGGTACAGCTGTTAACGATTATCTCGGCTACCATCAAATAAATTTTCACGTTTCGCCACCTACAGTTACACCGGCTGAATTACGTAATTATTTGTCCGATACTAATTACACAAGTAAAGGAAAGTAAAAACGATGGTTGTCTGCGAACTGCTTATCGTTTTGACAGGAGGTAACTGCATGCAATATAGAACAGCGGGTAATATCAAACATAAATACGATACTAATTCTATTACTTTCGAGCAACCAGCCATCTTGTAGTCATTCCCACCGAATCTTAGCTTCGAATTAACATAATGATTCTTTTATATCGTATCATGTCGGACTTGTAATACTTAAAAATCAACTATTTCATATACAGCAACCAAACGTGTACGTCTGATGAGTAAACAAACAGATTATATAATTATCGGCAACTCGAAATCGTCGCAAGCCGGATCTTCATCAATTTCCCGTTCCCTCTGTCACTTGGTATAATTATAGAAACGAGGATTTCATTCAGATTAAACGGTCCTGCAAGGACGCGGTTAATGGCCTGAAATTACTGTCCCGTCTCGCTCTTGTTCCTGTTGGTCCGTTCGCTTAACTTAAACTAGAACAGATATGTCATTACGATCTCGTGTTAATGCCATGCTGTTCGCTAAATAACAAACGACCATCCCGGTGAAAAACAGTGCGACCAAGCTGGTTTGGCTGATCAGGTAGATGTAACTGTGCAATCTAAGAACAGACCCCTATCTAATCGAACAGGTAATGAATGATGAAAACCAGAGACGCCATCTAATTTGCAAATACCATCGTTCTGATATTACGTTACTTTATTTCTTTAATTATTTTCATTGTGCAAAGGCGAATCGTATGCACGGGGTAGCCATTACAATATCGATACCCAGATTGGCCATTAGGAATTCGAAAAATTCTTGCTGCGCCTATTTAATTAAATTTTATTAATTCAATTTTTCCTTAGATAATTTAATAAACTCCTTTACTAACCTTCTGCTAAAAATTTAATTTCCAATACATCCTTGTCGATGCGTCAATTTGATTTTTATAACAAAATCTGTTTATTTCCTCTTATCGTGAATTGTGAGGCATACTCCATCGATGTGTTCGTTTCTTAGTTGCAAAACGATAATTGGTGGATCGGATGCTGTGTTTATGGGGCAGTAATCGTAATGAAACGGTTGCTGGTTATTATTAGGAACGATCACGCTTACGTCTAACGAAGTTTATTATCACGATTGCACCCCGTTACCTTCCGACTTCCCTTCGCCTTTTTCTCCGAGGTTAAAAGCAGCGATACTGTTCGCGCTGAATGACAACCGCGAGTTTGGTTCTCCGTTCGTGCGTCTTGATGCTCAGAATCGATCGTAACGAGATCCTGTAATCGGATATCAGCCACGATGAACAGCAGTTGATTTGAATGTTCCCACCGAAACGTGTAATAAGACTGCATTTCTCTTCGTGTTCAAGTGAAATTACAACAGCTGTTAATTTTAAAATTATTTCAATAAGGTAACCACCATTGCTGAGATTACAGTTGTAAACGTATACTTTAATCCCAGTAATTTTTAGTACAGCAATTTTAGTAAATGTCAAGTTCAGTTAGTGTCGGATAAGTTTCCGAATAGCCCCACTAAAATTGAGAACTCAGGTTCGGTATGTAACCTAAATTGACTACCAGAAACAGATTAAAATTGATTTCAGAGCTGGATGTCTTACCGTTTTCGAGATATCGTGGTAAGGTTAGGTTAAATTAGGTTAGGTTTTCTGTATGCGCAGTATCGAATAGCATATGTTCAGTACCGAACAGCGCATGCGCAGTATCGAATAGCGCATGCGCAGTATTGAATAGCGCATGCTCAGTATCGAATAGCACATAAGTAGTCCCAAAATTGAAACCAATTTTAATCGGTTTCTGGTAGTCAATTTAGGTTATATACCGAACCTGAGTTCTCAATTTTGGTGGAGCCATTCGGAAACAAAGCCATTAGTGTCTTTTATTCTCAACTTGTTGTTAGTTAGGATTTTCAATCTGATGCTTATAACTGTAAAGTCTTGTTTCTTCTTCTACCACTGTTCCGTATCGTTTAACCAAAACGTCCCCGTGTATCAAGCATGTACATAATAAAACAGAATGTAGCGAACTGTAAGAATAATTCATTGAATGGGATTTGAAGGAAGCGACAAGGGTAAGGTTTCTCCGTTCCAGATGCGTACACACGAAATTCCATGTTTCGCGAGTTGCTCGTCCCGCGCGAAGTGACAGAAGTAAGACGCATAGTTGCACGGTAGCCGAGCTCCGCTATCTGTGTGCATTTATCATGCGGGCAGTTACACCAGTCTTGGGGTCTCCCGTGTGTCGCGGCATTAATGAGACGGGCGGACGTTAAGAGAAATGGCAGACAGACAGTCAGGACGAAATCGCGAGGAAAAATACGGTTGAATTCAGTGAATCTTATTTTCTGTAGGAACAGATTGGTTTTTCTACGATCAGGACCGCGATATAGCAACGCAGATTAAATGGATAGATAAATGAAACAACTTTGAGTAGTGTCGTTTAAAAATTTTTTCACTTAGGAAGATATTTGTCTTCCTCCTGCGAGAGATTCCGCTTCGAGGAACGCAGAAGAGTGTTCAAACGTTACGCAGGAAGCTCTGCGTTTTATCTGGCGATTCGAGTGGAAGATAACCCCCTACAGATGATTTTTTCATTCTTTCGCAGCTGGTCGATTCACTGGAGAATTATTGCTCACCGAACGGGATACAAGTGTTCGCGATTTGTTAAATATTCATATTACAATGAATCGTTTGTACCTAATCCTAAAATTGCGATTCGTAGCAATCGATGACCCCATGATTTCTACTAGGAAATATGTGAAAACTTAGAAGGAATTAGAATTACTGTAACTAATGATTAATGTACAGATAGCGGTGCGCAGTTACTGTATTATAATTCACACTATTTTGAATCAATAATTAATTAATCGTGTCATTAACTTCCTGTTACATAGAAATATCAAGCTGCCTCGATCGTTCGTCATTTCTAATCTTCTTCTCTGATCTAAAATTTTCCTCTGAGATAGTAATGATCTAGTTGCCATTTAGAAAGCTCGACGATGAAAAGCAAGAATGAAAGAAAGAAAGAAAGAAAGAAAGTTATAAGTATAAGCAAGGAGCAAGAGCAAGGAGCTACCTCGGCAGGGGGCTTGGTTACCAAGGGGTAAGATCACGTAGTGTACGTCCTACTCGCAATTCGAAATAGCGGGGCTATAAATTAGTGGCTGGCTATTGCCTTGCCGAGAAGGAGTGTGAGCAATTATTTCCTTTGGACGCCATATTTCAGTTTGAACGTCTTAATAACCGAGGATACGCGGGCTTCCCTTCGAAGCTTACTGCTCCCTGAACATTAATCCAAGAGAAATGGAAAAGGGGGAGGGAATAGTGAGGCTTAAAGAAAGAAAATCACGCGGAGATTTATTCGAGATTGCCTCTAAATCTCAAAGATTTAGTTTTCTTCTTGTTTTTATTCTTCACAAGAAAATTACCGATTTTTTATTCTAATCGAGTTGCTCGAAAAATTCGTAGCATCTGCTGTGTTTTATGATTATTATTATTTAGCTGAAACGAAAGATATTTCAAAGAAATTCTGGCACAGTTACACGTTTTCTCGTGTAAATCGCCGGCAGATTAACATAGTAAGGAAACACGAATATTGTAAGTTGTCCTTAAAGAGGCTTGCACGGCGCTAGTATACTTTGCATACGTTACTGAATCACGTGCTGTAGCTTGGTAGTCGTTAAAAGCGCCGTATATCATGTCACCAAGGGACATGGACTGTGGGTGGATCTGATTTGGAAGCAGCACCGTGACAAAACTAAAGAGTGCACTCTATGCAAACTGGTCGAGCTAGCCTCTAACGAGCCGCGATTTCAATTGCGCGATTCGCAGCTGCGTTTTACGCAATCACTTGGCTGTTTTGCAAACGTACAATACAAGTATACGGGCGTATCACGAACCTTTCTAGCCCGTTTTCACCGAATCTCGTCCGAACAAAAGCATTTAAAAGAGATTTATTAAACGATCGAATAGCCTATGCTGTTCGTTAGCTGCCTTTAGATCCAGTAATTATAAAACATTCTACGACCGCCACGAGCGTTGGTAAATCGTAACACGTGAAAATAACGCAGACACACTCGTTCTTGATAATTAGATGAATTGTTCAACTGTCGGTTGATGGCTCCTTACTTGAATTTGTCACGCGACACGATTATGCCTACCTTTTGCAACAGCAATTCACTCTGGAACTTTATGGGATATTATTTATTTTTACGAGTTGAGGAGAGAGCGATATTATGTTTTTAACTTTAGATTCAGTGGACACTTCCGTGTTTGATCAAACACCGCAATCTTAAGTTTTCACGCACCTCTATAAAATAGCAATAATGAACAGAATACTACTATTTTTAAAAGACTCCAATTAAACTCGAAATAATCAACTTTCATTTATTACTTGTCCATACTCATTACCCACTTATAATAAAATTTATAGGAGTATTAAATGGGTTACGATCTCTTATATGATATCGCAAAATTTATTGCAATCGATTACCTGTTAAAGTCTCTCGTTTCAATAAGAATCATTATGATGATCTTAATCCTCTCATTCGTCGCGGGTTTTCAATTATACACATCTTAAACTTATCCATTGTATCGTGAAAGAAGTAAGAAAGTAGTAGAAAAGAAAAACGGCGTTAGAAGGGAAGGATGATTAGCATAATTCTATAAGATTATTCAATCAACGTCACCCGTAATTAATAGGGCTCACCGTGTATTCATAGCTGCGTCGTGTACGTTACAGGAGAGCATAAAACTTGGCGTTTAAAAAACCGGAGCGCCGCGGCGGCCGCACCGGTCTGATTAACGGCGAGAGCAATTTCAGATTTTTCGTAGTGAAACATCGTTCTCGACAGGCATGTTGAAAAATCAACTAACCCAAGCACAGTAGCGATTTGCCTCGGTGTTTTATGTATCATCCAATCGGCTAGATGAATACTAATCGACCGCTCTCAAGAATTTACGAGTTACGCTTTTCTTTTTTCGTTTTTCTTCCCGATAGCCTATCATTTATTCCATCTCTCTTCTTTATAATTTTAAATTCACGAATTGGTTAAAATAATAAATACCGTTTACTTGATTATCTTTGGTTGTAATCTCATTATTCGCTTCGGGGTTGATATCTTTTGATCTACAATAAATTTGCCACATCGCATTGGGTGCTCCTTCTTCGAATGTTGTGTTCATTGAATAATATCTTGATTGAAATCCGTAAAGGAACAATATGTACACGGATTTTACTTTGATCCATTGTCTGCTGCGACTGATAACCAGCTATTTTGTATCAAGAACATTTAATAAAAGATTTGTGCAGGCACTATCAACTTCAACTCTTTTACAGTCTAATAAAATTACAAATTGAGGTGAAACAAATGTATATTCTTTAAAAAGTTCCTGCGATTAAAACTATTATCCCGCACTTTTCAGAAGCTTTTAAGGAGACACCCTGTATGTGGTGAGTGGTGAAGTAGAAAGGTGCTACTTTGTTATAAGTTCCCTTCATCGGATTAAACGGTCACAATGGAACATTGTAAGGAGAAATTGAATTACTTGAACAAGACACTTCGAGATAAATATCGAGCTTGCGCAACAAAGTGATGCAAAAGTATCTCGCTCCGTGACAATGCATTTTGTGTTGCCTTTCAAGTCAAGCAGTTGATCTCGAATGACAAGTCTTTATCTCTCACGCGGGACAATCTAATTACTATCTACTATTTTTGATATGAGAAAAAAAACCAAGTGGTATCAAAAAAGAAAAGATCTTTATTCGTATGTCTGTGAATGTTAAGAGAAACTATTATAGTAGATTCAACAAGATTTTACCGCAGCATTCTGGCATTGTCCTCTGTAATCATTCCGAGCATTTTCCTTCGATTGACACGGATCAAAATATAAAATCTGGTGAAACCGGAGTGGACAGCACCGTGTACCGCGATTCTCGTTCGTATTTCCGCACGATGGAATCCGGATACTCGGCCGGAGGACAGCGTGCAGCTGGCCGCATGGAATTCTTCGCATAAATTGTGCATGTGCGCGTCCGTGGACGAGCGTGGGCGGTTGGAAGCCGAGCTGGTGGGGTTGCAGACCCCTGCTGGACCCGTGGCTGCGTGTGTCTGTGCGCGGAGCGTGGATAAATAATCGCGGAAATCTCGGTGCAAATATAGCCGGACGGTGTGGTGAGTGAGACGTAAATGGAGATTCAGCCTGATTCCGCATCGATTTCTATCTGACGCCGGGTATCCGTTTGCCAGCCTACCCGCACGACGCGACGCGACG